CATGTGGCTGGAGGTGGCAGGATTCACCCGAGTGTCTTCGGTAAAAGAACCAGGGCAGAGGTGGGAGAGACACCTTTCCTGGGGCTCTGGGGCTGGGGCTGCCTCTGCAGATGGTTCAGTGGGGCTGCCCTTTTCTGTCCCTTGTGGGGGTTTGGCTTTCAGTGCCAATTGTGGGGTGCTGACTCCCCAACTCCCTTTCCCTCTGCCTTCTCCTAGCAGCAGAGCACTGTTCCCGAAGTCCCTGCCACCTTCCTCTCCAGAATGGCCCAGCTGAGCCCAGGACTGGCTCCTGGCTCCAGCCCATCCCCAGTGGTGCCGGTGCCGCTGGCAGGCATGCAGCCGGGCTCCCTGAGAGTCCCCAAGGCAGAGCAGCTATCTCCCACCTCAGCTTGTGGTAAGCCAGGGGCACCCCAAAGAGCTCCACAGGGCACCACCGTTCCTGCAGAGAGCTTGGACCAAACATTGTGGGAATGTTTCATTTTGGCTTCAATCCCAGCTATTTCCATTCCCCCAACCAAGCACAGAAGGTTCCTCCCCGCGTGGGAGGTGCAGCCCCTTCACCTGCCTCCTTCTACAGGGGCAAAAGCAGAAATAGGAAAAGACAAAAACAGAGCAAAATGTCTGACTGTGGTTTTGAAACCCCAGAGCTTGGTTTTGGAGCAGGAAGTGCCTGCTTTCACCCGCGGAAACCAGCACGGCCGCTGGAAACCAGGCTCTGGTGTCGTTCCCAGTTCATTCCGGTGCTGCACACCACAACCTTGCTGCCCTCGGGACTCTTGCTGGATATTTCCACCCCAAGAAACACCGGGAATTTAAAATGTCACATCCCAGATGTTCCCATTTCTGAGCAGTTGTAAATGAGTGGGATTTGGGGTAATGTGTGGTTAGAGGCTGGAGCAGAGCATCCCAGTCAGAGGGGTGGGTGCCCCAGGGCAGGGGCAGTACTGTGGGTGCTCCTCCGTGCCTGTCCCAGTGTGTGACAGGTGTCACTCTGTCACAAGGGGCTGCTGCTGCCCTCTCCCCAAACCAGCATTTTCCTTTTTCCAGACAGCAACTGGCGCAAGCCCAGCCAGGCTTCTCCAGGACCCACTGCAGGGCTGGGCACTGGCACCTCCGTGCACCACCCCGTGTCCCGTCGGGGCAGGCCTGAGTCCAACAAGGTACTGCAGCAGCCCCATATGCACCCCCCTTCCCTCCTACCCCCCCAAAACTCCATCCACCCTCACTGCAAGCTTTGGGCCAGCCTGTCCCCGCTGGGGCTGGTGGCCCGTGGCTGTCCCCGCTGCCGGGAGGTGCCTGACGGCGCTGCCCCGCAGCTGGAGAGCCGCCGCATCACGCACATCTCCGCCGAGCAGAAGAGGCGCTTCAACATCAAGCTGGGCTTCACCACGCTGCACAGCCTGGTGAGCACGCTGAGCACCCAGCCCAGCATCAAGGTGAGCACCCAGGGCCATCCCTGGGCATGCAGGGACACCTGGGGGATGCTGCATCCCTGCTCTGCCCCAGAGCATGGAGCTCCTGCCCCTGTAGGCACATGGAGACCTGCACTGTGTGGCCGTGCCAGGGCGGTCTGGGCTCTGGAGACTGTGCCAGGGTGGTCTGGGCCCCGTACCCCTCTCACCCCTTGGTTTCCCAGGTCAGCAAGGCCACCACCCTGCAGAAGACAGCTGAGTACATCTGCAAGCTGCAGCAGGAGCGGGCGGCTCTGCAGGATGAGGCACAGCGGCTGCGGGAGCAGATTGAGGAGCTCAACAGCTCCATCAAGTAAGGGGGGACGTGGCTGGGGGGCACTGCCTGCTTCGGGGTGTCCAGGCAGGGCAAGTGGCAGTGCTGGAGTGGCAGCAAGACATGGTAGGTCTCCCTGGAGCACCTGTCCCTCCTAAAACCCTGGCTGGGAGAGGGCTGATGCTCAAGAGGCAGTTACTGCTTGGGACCAGACTGTGGGGCCAGGCCCCACAGCCACCCTGGGAGAGGGACACTGCCTGCCAACCCCTGCTGAGAGCTGAGGTCCTGCTGGAGCTTCTGAGCTCCTGCTGGGCCCCATGGGCAGCCCCTGTGGCTCCCAGCCTCCCAAACACGGCCCCACGGCGCTGCTTGTGCCCCGCAGCCTGTGCCAGGAGCAGCTGCCAGCCACGGGGGTGCCCATCACGCGCCAGCGCTTCGACCACATGCGTGGCATGTTCGACGAGTACGTCCGCTCCTCCACACTGCAGAACTGGAAGTTCTGGATCGTATCCTTTGGGGCCAGCACCTGCTGCTCCCTCTGACCTCTGCACCAAACACCAGGTGCTCTGGTTCACCCGCTGCTGCCGGGTCTGTGGGGTCCCTCTGGCTCTACAGACCCTGTAGAGGGACCTGTAGGGAGGGACCCAGGGAGATGCTCCCCAGCCGAGGGCACATGGTGGGAACATGCCGAGGTGTTGTGGTTAGGAGGAATCTTCTGTTACAAGGGAGCAAAAATAGTAGGAATAAATGGTTGGTCTTCAGGGAAATGGAAAGTGGAACTGAGCTCATGCAGGCAATTGCTCCTGGTGAGATGGGAACTGGCTCTGAGAGGCAGCAGCCATCAACCAGGGATTAGGAGAGGTCCAGACACAAAGCTGGGGACATGATGGCTTGGTCCTGGTGGCTGCATGACACACTTTGGAAATCCAGGGATGGAGAGGACCAAGGGCAAGGAAACCTGTAGGCAGAGGGCTGGATCTGCTCCTCTGTGAGCAGGGATTAGACACACTGGGACCATTAAACCTACAGAAACTGTGAGGTCTGTGAAATCCCAAGTAGCAGAAGGGTTGGGCAGGCACTGCTGCCCACGGTCCCACCCAGTGCAGCACATCTGGGCAAGGCAGAGGTGGCTGCTGACAGAGCTGGGGAGCTCCTTCCTCAGGACACTGAGTATCCTAAAGCCAACATGGGCTCCAGGACACGCTCGCGGCAAAGGTATCTGTGTGGATTACTGCATGCACAAAATCACCTGTCCCAGATTTTGGTCCCCAGATCAAAATCCCTGGTCCCTGCAGGCTGGGGGAGCACACTGGCCACACTGGTGTCCTGCCCTGCTCCTGGGCACTTTGCTAGCAGACATGGTGGGGGTTACACAGCTCTCCCACCGCCCCAGGTGACACTCAGGTCCTCATCACCCCAGCAGTTCAGGCTGGTGCCCAGTGCGGTGCTGAGCTGGGAAGGCACCCAGCAGGTCTGATCCATGGTCTGTCCTGCTGCTCCAGCAGTTCTGCTCCAGAGCTGGGCAAGATCTGTCCTGCTGCTGAGGGAGGGTGATGCCCACACCTGGCAGGTGGGAGACCATGGCTGTGGCAAGGCTGGTCCTTAACTCCTCTGCTCCCGCCAGTTCAGTATCATCATGCGGCCCCTCTTTGAGTCCTTCAATGGGATGGTGTCCACGGCAAGCATGGAGAGTCTCACCCAGACATCCCTGGCCTGGCTGGACCAGCACTGCTCCCTCCCAGCACTTCGGCCAAGTAGGTGGCCCTTTGCCCGGCTCTGGCACCCCGAGCAAGTTGGGTGGGCACATACTAAGGGAAAGGCTGAGGGGAAAAAGACAGCAGTGTCCTGAGGGATGGAGAGGCTGATCCGTGGGATGTCCCGGGGCTTGTGCTCGATGCTTTCCTGTGCTCCTGTCACGCCCACCTCCCAGATGAGCTTTCTGTGCTCTAACCTGGTGTCCTGGCAGGGCAGATTCAGCCGTCTCCAGAGCCCCACAGGGTGGGTTTCCCTTCGCCCCATCTGCTGGGAGCTGTGGCAGGGAGCGGTCCCGCTGTTCCAGCAGCTGGAGCAGGGATGGGCAGCGCCGTCTCCCGCAGGGTGGGTTACCCCTCGCAGCCCCCGAGGGACGTCGGGCAGTGACCTGTCCCCCTTGTCCCTTGTCCCCGCAGCCGTCCTGAGCTCCCTGCGGCAGCTGAGCGTCTCCACTTCCATCCTCAGCGACCCTGCCCGTGTCCCCGAGCAGGCGGCGCGGGCGGTGGCGGCGCTGGGACGCGGCGCCTCCTCCT